TTCGATATATATTTCACAAGTTCTAGCTTCAATGGCTTAGACGCAACTTGGATAATCTTAAATACATATAGAGTAAGAGGTTACTTACCTTTATATATAAATAAAAACTCCAATTTGACCTTAAATTTCCATGAAATATCCATCCAATGCTGCCACAACAACAAAAAAGCAAAACTAGCAATCAATTAGTGTTTTTCGGCACTAGAATCACTTTAGAAGGCTTGAAATCACCTAGGATTGATATTAAGAACATGAGGGAATATTTACAGAACATTAACCCTGTTTGACACAAAAATGAGCAACAACAAGAAGAACAAAAGACTTATTAGCGCCACGGAATTCCCGACACTTAATTTGTGTTGTTTGCCCTTTTTTTGGGTCTTGAATCTTGAGAGAACCTTGAGAGGATGTTACTAGGGTTCGAAGGTCTGAAAATAGTGAGAAGAAATGACTTAAAATGGGTTGGAGGCATCCTATATAGGTCCAAATATCTTAAACCGCTTTAGTGGGCCCAATAGAGAGGTGCTTGACGCAGTCTCGCAAAAATGCGAATATCTCTCTACTTCGAGATCGTATCGATGAACAGTTTAATGCGTTGGAAACTAGACTCATATATATTTAATTTGGTTGGTAGATCATCCCGTAATTCCTTGTAAATTTGGAGAAAAGATTAGAAACATTTGACCTAATGTTTAAGTAAAATTATGAACCTAAGTTGCGACAACTTTTGTCGACTTTTGTTTCATAACTCGTTTGACTTCAAGACTTATGATACGGATATTATATGATTAAAATACCTTAATACATGACCTCTTGATTGTATTAAGAACCGCTAGATTTACCTGAAAATACTAGTTACAACATCCTTGATTCATTTAACTTCTAATACTTGTTAATCACCCTTATACACTCTTGTATCACTTAAGACCAATAGGATTGACTTCTTATCATCTCAAAGATAATTCCTTATTGGATTTATGTTAACTAATATATGGCATGAACTAACACATATGGATATGGGTTGTAACATATATGCCCTTGGGCAATTCCAAGGCTGTAACTAGAAATAAAAATTCTCCAGTATAAAACCAAATAATGTTTTAGATTATACAATGTATGTCCCATTTTAATACTATGAATCAAACTCCACTAAGAAATGCACATGCACTAGATAATACAGAATTATTAATCCTTATATTGTAATTTTTGTCTGACAATCTCTACATTAACTTATCTGCCAACTGAACGACCCCTTGTGGAAGAATTGACGCCCTATAATTGTCAGAACAACAGCTGGATAAGATTTAAATATATATATCATCGGGGTGATTGAATTGATAAAGTTACATCGTTAACCGAACACAAGTGATCATTAGATGGAGGCTGATCAGCTGATCTCACAACAATTCGCCCAATAGAAAATGCAGGTTGTGATGGTTGTGGAAGCGTTTGAGGGTCATTTTCTAGCATAAAAACTGCAGAGGACATGGTAGGTCTATCTGCTGGATCTTGTTGAACGCAGAGCAACCCGATATGGATGCTTTTTATTATATCAACTGCCACACAGGACTGCGATAAGCCAGGGTCCATAAGCTCTAATCCTTTCCCTTCACACCACAATTTCCATGCCTATATTTTCAAGATGATATCAGGATGATTTATGCAAGTTGAAATTGACATAACAAAAAACAAAAAATGAAAAAGGAAGTCTCTTACAAAATTAAAGAGGCTCTGACCATATTCTGAAACATAGCCATTGTTTTTCCTCCCACTTACTATCTCAAGGACCAGAATTCCAAAGCTGAAAACATCTGATTTAGTAGAAAAGAGTCCTTCCATTGCATACTCAGGGGCCATATATCCACTGTCAAAGTAAAAACAAATTTGGTCTTCAGCATCAATCTTACAACACAATGTCGTTTTATACAATGTCAACTGATTTTTGAATCATCTTCAGCTACTAGCTTACAATTTCACACATATAGAATATGTTTGAATTTTGTTAGCGCGTCATCTAAAAGAATGTTTTAGAGAAAGAGCACATGTTTGTTTATCTATTTAATTTGTATTAAACATACTCCTTATGTGCAGGCTAGTTCTTCCTCTTTGCGCTCTGCATGTTGAGATATTCTGATCGTGGGACTTAAAGGCAGAAGGTGGCACATCTTTTGTGTTCTAAATATTTTAGACAATGTAAAAGTCGAATTTTTGGTAGAAGAAAAACTCAATCAGAAGTCTTACTAGGTTCCAACAACTCTATTTGTATTGGCTTCACATTGATTTCCGCTAAACATCTTTGCCATTCCAAAGTCTGATATCTTCGGGTTCATATCTTTGTCCAGTAAAACGTTGCTAGCTTTTAGGTCCCTATGAATGATTCTCAGTCGAGAATCCTCGTGCAGATATAGGATGCCCCTGGCTATTCCCTTAATAATGTGGAGACGCTGTCTCCAATCCAGAATCTCGTTTTCTCTTGAATCTAGAAAAACAAAGTAAAGAATGAAGTTAGTGAACAATTGCTGCGTCGGGGTACACTGATTGGCCAAATAAGGAAAGGACAAACCGAAGAGGAAGAAGTCCAAGCTTTTGTTGGGCATGAACTCATAGATAAGCAATGCTTTATTTCCCTCTAAGCAGCAACCCAAGAGCTTCACGAGATTTCTGTGCTGCAATCTGGCAATTAAGACGACTTCATTCTTGAACTCTTTCAGCCCTTGACCAGATGTTCTAGAGAGCCTCTTGATTGCAATTGCTATGCCATTGGCTAGTTTTCCCTGGAATGTTATACACAACACCAGATGACCAAAAACTATGGACAAACTGACCCCCTCTAGCAACGTGATAAATGATAGGGATTGTTACCTTGTATACTGGACCAAATCCACCTTCTCCGAGCTTGTTTTCTTCAGAAAATTTTTGTGTAGCAGCTCGAATGAGGTCTAGTTTTACAACTGGAAACTCTTTGGACCTCGCCTGCTTTTCGGAGCTAAAATTATCATTCGAAAAGTCTTCAGCAAGTGTTTCTTCTATCATGTTAAGCAATTGAGTTTCTTGATTACTTTCATCCCCCTCTGTAGAGATTCAACTTTTGATTGGTTATCCGAAAAAAAACAGTTTCTTTTAAACCCAATACACCAATAACCTTTTACCTTTGGCTATACGTCTTCTTCTTTTCACAAGGTAAAAACTAGTTCCTGCCAGTACAACAGCCAACAGTGCTATAACACCAATGATGATACTAATAAGCTTTGTCTTCGAGGTATTTCCACCTGAAAACAGAAAATAGTTGGTAAATTCAATGCTCAAAATCAACGGTTACCTTGTGAGTAGAATGCCTTGATAATTAAACTTATTTAGTACAACAAACTTGAGATATAGAAAAGTCCATTGTTTAAGACAATCTTCAAATTCAGATTATATAACAGTGGCGTATGAGATTAATAAGCAGTTCTAGGATGCTATTTGTATGTCAATTTATAACCATGAAAACAGTAACCGGAGTTGTAGACTTTTAGTAGAAAATAGAAATATATGTCTACTCAGAAGAACTATCCCCTCTTTTCAGATAATTGGGGAAACTCAAAAATTAGAATCACATTCTGAATACGTGAATAACAACTTTTTAGTACAATTTTCTGAAATGGTGAAGGGAATATGCAACTCATTGTCAAATAGCTAAATTTAGAGAACATTATCGACATTTATGTCAAACCTGCACTCTCCAGCCAAGAGCCATATTCTTCATTCTTTTGTGACATTTCAATTCTGCAAGTTGGAGAGGAGGCGACAAAGCGTAGTTTAGTCAAGTAACCTTTTAATGATTAATGTTATTAGTAAATGATTTTCTTACTTTATGTGTGTCAAAGCCTTAAGACATTTAAAATGGACCAAAAATGTAGTATAATATGATTAGGATTGTAAAGCTTTTTTATATGAATTAGAAGCCATTAGTTTAATGTGAAAGACAGGGAAAATAGGTGCCTCCATATAGGTTCTCTGGGAAATTGCTTTCTTTTAGTAATTTCTTAGGAAATTTGGCTTCACAAACAACCTCTGGAAATAAAATTAGTGCCAGGGCGGCTCTAAAGGCTTGGCCAGTGAGGCTCTTGCCTTAGGCCCCCAAAATTTGAAGGTCCCAAATTTATCGGAGAAATTTCAAAATAGCCAGATTTATAAGTGGTCATTCAAAAATAGTCACAGTTTCAAAAGTAATCGAAATTTAGTCACTTTTCATGTAAAGATAAATCTGAACGAAAACATTGTTCAAAATTCGGAAAATAGTCTAGCATTATACTGGAGTTCATACGTATCGGTCCAGCATAATATGCTGGAAGTTCATACACAGGTGCTCCAATCTCCAGTATATTATGCTGAAATTTTTCGCGTGTTGGAGTTCCAGCATAATATGCTGGAAGTTCATACACAGGTGCTCCAATCTCCAGTATATTATGCTGAAATTTTTCGCGTGTTGGAGTTCCAGCATAATATGCTGGAAGTTCATACATAATTGCAACGATTTCCAGTATATTATGCTGGAACTTTCCATGTTGCAGCAAAATAGTGGCTATTTTTCAATGACTTTTGCAAACGCTGGCTATTTTTTAATGACCGGTCCGAAAACTAACTAGCCCGTGTTATTTTTACCAAATTTACTCGGGGGTCGTTTGCTTGGAAATAAGTTATCCGTGATTAATTATCTCGGGATTAGTTATCCCACCATCCCACAGGGATAAAAAAATACTACAATCCCGAAATAACTAATCCCCGAATTAGTTATACCGCAATTTTATCTCAACCAAACATGGGATAAACTCATCTCAAATTTAATCCTGAAATTAATTATCCCTTGTGCCAAACGAGCCTTTAATCTTTTATTATTATGACTACTATATACTATATAATTTATATAAATAATTATTATAAAGAAAAGTGTTATAGTGTTTTGTTATTTGATTGAGGTTATTTTATACCAATAAGTTCATAAATTGTGGTAATTTCTCACTCATTAATTAGTATATTTACTTCAATTTTCAATTTTAATTTTATCCTTTTTGTATAGGAATTCAGATATATATATCGATAACATAATGAATTTCTTTTACAATCTTCTTTGAAATTGCATGAACACAAAAACATTCATGCACTGTTTTCTTTAGAGTAATTCAACATATTATATTATGTTATCTACAATTAATTTTAGGTATGCACCAATAAGCGCTACTAATTATCATTTAAATTGATCAGAATGAGTATTTTTGACATTGTCAATACTCAAAACTTAAGTTATTACGTTATATATGTTTTTCTTTTTCTTGATTGTGATGATAGCAAAATCAAAANATTTCTTTGTCTGACTATTTGCAATGGTTGTTACATTACGCAATATAATGAAATGATTTGGAGTATAATTTATGTTTAATTTTTTAGCGTCCCCCCCCCCCCTTTTTTTTTTCTTTTTGAAATTCACTATTTTTTTTATCTTAAATGATTAATTTTATTGTTTAGAAAGCAAATTTTGTTGTTAGTGTAAAAATTTATAAAATAAATTTAAGGGTCTCTCAATATGATTTCACGTTAAGCCACAAGATTTGTTGAGCCGCCCTCCTGGTTACTGCGTGCAACTTATCAAGTAGAAGAGAATATTTTATACTTACCTTTATCCTCGTTACCCTGGCTGGTCGATGGCTGTGGTGCTCCCGGACCCCGTCCAGCAGGATTTAAGAACTGATATAGCTCATACCTTAAATTGCAGCTTGCATATAGAACTCTGCATCCGCGTGGTACTCTGGCGTCAGAGAGTAGAGTACTGATTGCAGAAAGAGCAGTATTCAGGCAAGCGCGACAATCTGCAGCTGACAAATCAGGTAGACACTGCACCATACCATACAACTTCTGAATCGGTTCAAATTCATCAGAATTTGCAGCATATTTAAGGTTGGGATTAACTGAAGTAGCTTGATAGGTAAGGTTATCAAACATTGAACCCAAAATCCGCTTAAATTGTTTTGGCCGCGAAACGTTTCCTGCGTTATACAAAAAGCTTCCACCTGAGTAGTCCAGGGCGGAGACGAAAGATACATTAGAATAGCGGATCAAACACTCATCATACCATATGATTGCATCTTTGGTGTGAGGACATTCGCGCAAGATCCGCTCAGTTGCCACGTCTATACATCTTTGGCAAATTTCAGGTGCAACGTCTCCTCTACAAAGGAATACTCCATGAACTTTATTAGGGTCTTCTCCTTCACTGCGATTTGCATAGATGGAATTGCCACCATTATTGTATAGCGATCTGTATAGCAAACGGGCAAGATTAAACTGAAATTTGCTTCCTTCTGTATAGTTACTAATGGTTGAGCAAAAGCTTTTCAGGAAGCTGCTCTCTGCAGGTTTCACGCCCACAAGTATGTTTGACAGAGCAAGCAGCGAAAGGAGAAAGAAAATCAGAGTTGTTCGGCTACTGCTTAAAACTAGAGCAGACACCATACTTGATTATTTCCAAGTCTTCCTAAATCCTAATGTACTGCCAATTGATTGGAATTACGTACTACGACAATCTAAATGGAGTATATAGGACTTAGGAGTAGTATATAGGAGGGAAGTTGACTCACTCAAAATAATGCGCAATAAAACATTAATATTCTTATGTGATTATCACACACTTCAAATACCAAAAAATAATAGTATGTATTTTTTTAAACAATTTAAACTTTTAAATGTGATTATCACACACTTCAAATACCAACTACCAAGTAAATAGGAAAGTGTATGTCACCAGGAAGTTTCGTTCTATTATCCTAGCTATTTTATTTTATGAGGTTGACTTTTCCCTTTTTGTCTATTTTAAAGAAAAAAGATTCTCATATTTATATATTAGAAAATAATTTAATATTCAATTTTACCTTAAAGTAATGATTCATAACCGTTAAAATATTTATGATGTATTTTAGGCTGTAAAATTAAAAACCTTTTTTCTTCTTAAATTTTGATGTTCAATTAATTAAATATTGCAACATAAAGTGAAACTGAGGGAGTAGTTCTTTTCTTGTTTAACGAGTAGTGGAAAATGACCGCACTGTGAGAAAGAAGTAAGAATCCTACTAACTGACTGCCAGGTGTCCTATTAGTGGGTCCAACGAAGTTTTTTTCCGTCAAGCTATATAAGGTACTCGTAGATAGTTCATTTCTTGTTCAATATATAGGAAATACTAAATAGCTTTGTATATTTCTCTTGCTATTCGTATGGGTATTCGTGTCCTTTACGTATGTAGTGTTCAATTGACTGAGATGATCAGTGTGGAAAATTTTTATTTTGTATCTCATGCAACTGACACTAATTATATGAGTCAGTTTTTTGTCTCACGGTTTTGTGGATTCATAAGTGAAAGATTGAGGTCTACAAATTTGTGAAACAAAAAAGAACCTCATGCAAATAGTGTAAGTTGCACGAGACACAAAATAAAACTTCTCTTTGTCAGAGATTACCAGGTGCTTCTAATAGTGCGAGAAAGTTCTTGTATAGTGATCGATCTGTACAGCAAGCGGTTAAGATTTAACTGAAATTTGCTTCCTTCTGTATAATTATTAATGGTTCCCGGGCAAGAGTTTGCCAGCCGACTGATCTCTGCTTTGACGTCCCCACTTATGTTTGACAAGAACAAGCAGCGAAGGGAGCAAGAATATAAGAATTGTTTGGGCACTGCATAAAGCTAGAACAGACGCCATTCCTCAACTCTAAGGAACTATAGCTTGCTTGGAATTATGTCTAAAGTAATCTAAATAATAAGAGCAGAAGATGACTCTAGGCGCTAGTCAACAGTGTCTCTACTCTCCACTAACAGAAAATGAAATGCTTACAAATCAAATTGTACTTGTCAGCGTGCTGAAAGAAAGGTATCACTCTCTATTCTGACTTCATGGTCTTTGATAAATTAGGCAAAATATATAAGTTACCACCTGACTTAGAGACCAAATCCCTCTTACAAACTTTTTGTGGACCAAAATTATCTTACACTTAACCTTTTTAAAGTGTATCTAAGACACACATTTTTTATGCTTGACCACTTTATCTCAAAGATTGTATCGCACACGCTAATTAAATCTTGACACATGTCATAACTCAAGTAAAAAAAGAAAATGCATAATTTGCATCCCAATTGATACTAATTTTTAAACAAGAAAAAGAAATCAGAAAACAAACCCAAACCCACTCGCTCTCACATTAATCAGAAAACTCCCTTATAAAATACCTTCTTTCTCCCATCCTTTAAGAAAAACCCAGAATTTCTTTGATTGATATCTGAAATGAATTATTGATTTTGCACCAATTAAGTTGTAATGGAAGTGTGCAATGATTCTTCCTCTAAAACCTTAGCAGTCATGGCAGATAGAACCCTCAAGAAAAAACTCATTAACTCTCCTCTTTTGCTACTACCATATTCATATAAATGAAGCACCCAATGGTATTAACTTCTTGATTTTCAACTTGAAACAGAATTTAAACTATTTCACTGGCCGGAGTTTCAAGCAAAACTCCATTTTCGACTAATAAAAGACGAAAAAGATAAGGGTTTCACTAATAACTCCATGGCTATGGAGAAACATACGGGTAGAGATTTTAAATCTAAAGATTATTTCTTTTTTATTCCTACTTGGATCTACTGGAGCGGTTGGGTGAGGTATATCGTGGGAACAAGACCAATGAGCAGGGAGGTTGGGGGCGAAGGTTTTAGCATTAGCAATCTTTTTTCTTTTCTTTTTTGTGTTTTGTATATAATGGTAAAAGAAAAAAAGGATAAAAAGAAAAAAAATATTTAGACCTTTGGATCAACTTGCTTGAATCTACACCGTTCAAATAAAATTTCAGATTTTTATTTTTTACCTCTTCACGCGCCTGTTTTGCGTGTAATATACCTGGTCAAAAGTGGGGTGTCTTAGACACACTTCGGAAAGGTTGAGTGTGTAAAGTAATTTTGGTCCGCAAAAAGTGTGTAAGAGGGATTTGATCCATAGCCTGGGGGTAACTCATGTATTTTGCCGATAAATTACAATAAGCATGTAGTTATTCAGCACAAAGTTAACAAAAAGAAGATACAGAAGAATGACAAATTCAAGAAAATGAAGGCTTCACCAGACTCTAATCCACAGGTTTGGTCGGCATTGTTAAACTTCTAGTCAAAGGTCTAAGTTGAGAACTTAAATCATATCAAATATTCATAGTAAACTAAGAAGAGGGCATCTGGAGTATCTTTAGGCAGGCTGTTTATGTAAAGATAGAAACGCAACATGTCCTCATTTGAAAGAGTTTCCTGGTCAACAATGTCGCTATTGCCCGTGAGAACCCACAGGTCCCCTGAGTTCACTCTTTTGAGGTTTCCTCTGCAAAATGGGCAGGACTCGGACCTTAAGTTCCTGCAACAGAAATCATGGGTTAAGAAGATCACCAAAAACTTATTCTTTTGGCACTAAAAAGTAATAATGCGCGATCCAGAAAAAGAAAACGAGGGACAAGAACATCACTTGCCAGTCACGATAGCAATTAATGCACATTGCATGACAGCAGTTTGGCAAAACTATTTTGGTGCACGGTTCTAAGCAGATTCCACACTCATCTTCTTTCTCCAGATCACCATCGAAATGCTTTTTCTCTTGTACTTTCTTCCCAACGATTGTTTTTGAAACTTGAGGTTCGTCTTCACTACTATCCTGCTCTGATGAGCTATCGTGTAGGCGTTGGAGAGATGGTAATAGAACCGCTGCAAATTGCTATTTGTCAGAGAAATAAGTCGCCACATAAATCGGATATAGTTTGAGACAAACGTTGACCTAAAAATGGAGACGCACAATAAACAAAAAAATATAAAAAAATTCGCCCAAATCGAATTACTATGAGGTTTCTCTATTTACTACTAGGATGAAAACAGATACTCATTAACTGAAATTCAATCCAGGAAAGCACATCAGAATACAATGTCAAGAAAATTTAATTTTACAGCTCTTAGACTACCAAAACCTTTTTTTTCTTTGGCTTAATCTTAGACTGCTAGTTGAAGGCTTGAAACTGGATAACTGACAAACAGTACATACCATAGAATTCTCTAATGCTTGCTTTCCTCCCATCTAAATGAATCTTCTTCTTGCTATTGGGGATAACCTAAAAGATATCACGATCTTTATTTCAACAAAATATGATGATATCATCTTAGTATAATAATAACCATAACCTACTAGAACTATGGGAAGAAATTAACAGCCCGAGAATAGAGAACAAACCTTGTATACGACAATGTGGAAGAGATTGAAATAACTTGGAAGTAAGCATGTGCATGAGCAATCCATCCACTGAAGCAAGAACAAAAGTAGTGGTGCCAAGTTATTGTACACCAATTTTATTTGTAGACAAGTGCCATTCTTGAACCTTGGAATAGAAGCTGCCCTGGAACACGTAATTTAGAGCGACAAAAAGGTTATCTTTGCTGTTTAAGACTGCAGCTAGAACAACAATTTGTCCAGCGACACATTTTAGCAATTGGCCATATAAATCACCAGCAAATGCAGCGATTTAAACCCAGATCAGTTGAAACAATAGAAAGGAAATTGAAGATTGCAGATACAAAGACTTCCACACTCTCATGCAGATAACAAAAAGTACTATTGTGAGACCTACTTAGTGCGTCCAACAAAATTCCTTACATTCAATAACTGTTGCATTGCAGATTACTCTTTCATTGCGTTGTCTCATCATTTAATTTTCAGCTATATGTGAACTTGATATGTCAAAAATTACTAAAGAAAGAACTTCCAAGATTACGAATTAAGGAATTCATAAGGTCTTAACTGTGATAAAGTTTTAAATCGCTTCAGTTACTAAAAACTGATATTTAACTAACCAAAACAACCTCTCCGACTATATAACATAATTATTCGAAGCTATTGTGAAATTTCAGCTAGTCATAGTGCTATCTGTGGAACTAGCATACAGACCAGTGATGAAAAATTCATTAGTCCATTCCCCTAATTCGGCTATATAAACGTTATATTATGTTAGTAAGGGGAAGAAAGAGGGAAATTCCAAAAAAAAAAAATGCCTCCTTTGTTTGGCGTGCATTGAAGAAGAAAAAAGAAAACTGAGGAGCCTTTTGGGCTCACTACCATAGAGTAACAAAAGCTTAGTTACTCCACATTTTTCTCTCGCTTCAAACGAAGGAAAGAAAACAGCTGGTTAACTTTCTCCCCCACTTGCTCTTCCATTTTCCTTTCCATGAACTGTCCACATGAACAAAGTAAAGCTCAATCGAAATTCCAATTTGGAAGCCAAAGGTTACTTCCAGAATCCAAGGAAAGGAACAAGAAGGTTGCTTGAAATTTATGAGTTCTATGGTGACCTCAAGTTAATATACAATAATAACAATGTTCACGATCAAATGGAGTATTTATAAAATATTTAGTGGATTTGTTGCTACATATACAAGTTCTGCGCAAAAGCTATTAGGTTCACGTGAATGCACATTATACATTGTGAAGCTGCCCCTTAAT